AGTCCTGGCCGTACGGACTTGCGCCAGCTGCGTGACCCGCCAACCGAAGTGGATCATTGTGTGATCTCGCAGCTCCGACGTTGGCGTATATGGGCGAGCCGGGGGCGTCCGAACGTCTACTGCCGTTGTCTCTGTCCACTTGGCGATAGTTTCGCCTATTCTGGGCCACCTTCTCCTCTGTCCTCCAGGAGTCGGCCAGAGAGTCGCTCTCCTCCGAGAAGGCGCCCAGTTCGTTCGGGTGACCCGCCGGACTCGGCACCTCCTCTGCCCGGAGGTCCCGACGAGCCCGGTCTGCCGTCGACGACCTCATCGCCTGTGGGCGCAGACGATCGTTCATGTAGTCGTTGGCTGAGTCCGTCAGGTTGCTCGCCGTGTCCGACGCCCCTCCGGCCGGAGGTTTTCCACGCGAAGATGGTGAAAAGAGACTGCCCGTTGCGCCGCCGAACATCGGCACCGCGCCGACCGGAACGCGTGACCTTCGCGACTGTGCTCCTGCCGCCTCGGCCGGTACCGGATGCATTGACGACTGATGATTCGGCTGCAGTTGTGACTGAAGGTAGCTGGTTGGATGGCCGAATTTGGGCGGCCGACCGCTCGACCGGCCAGAGGCGTGATTCCCCTCTTCAAGGCTCAACTCGGAGTGTGGTTCGCTCTCGGGACCCTCTTGCGGCCAGCCTCCGGAACGGGGTCCTGGTCGTTCTGATTCGGCATGACCTGTGGCCGGGTGGAACTCGGCGCCCGAACTAGCGCCCGGATAGCCGAGATGGTAGCTAGCTGATCGGTTGCTAAGCATGCTGGCACCGCCTAAACCAGCATTGCCGCCACCAGCGTTGCCATGGAGATGACCGTATCCACCGCTAAGTTGTGATGTCCCTCCGGAGCGTGGCAAAGTACCCCCGATGAGCTGGCCTCCGTAACCGAGATTAGAACCACTTCTTCCGCCAAGAAGACTGCCGGTGCCCATTCGGTCTCTTGGCGCGACTCCTGACTCTCCTGGCACCAACTGGTTCAATGAACCATTCTATAATAAAATTTAGTGCAATAACTCTAATAGATTTAAGTAATAATTAGCAGACTCCAAAAGGATAAGAATCAAGCTGTATACCTTCACGTTGGTACAAAGGCACTTTGTACGACCTTAATTCTCTTTGTCGATTACTGAATACTAATGCATTTTAAAGATTAGTATTGCTTGATCTCTTATGGAAAGTGGTTGAATGGCAACAATATAGAAAGGTCTAATTGAAATGTGCTAGTAGTACGAAAGCAGATGAGCCCCCAAATATTCATGCACCTGACGCAAAAGAGTGTCTGTCCGGAAAACTGAATTAGTGAGTGATATATCGACTGGTACAGACGAGGAAAACAAACGCATATAAAAAAGAAGCTACTCCAAATCCTAATCTTGGCCAACTTAGACAGCAGGCTTATGCATAATAGACGAATTCACACTATTTAGTTTAAACTGATGAAGGACTGGTAGTAGAATTTTCCCACAATTATATGAGTAGAGCTGACCTTTCCATTGAATTTCACATTGCCTTGCTTTCCCAAAAGTTCATTCATCCCGTCTGGAGTGGACTGCAATTTCGACCTCGTATAGGTCTTATCAAAACCTCCAGCGGAAGTGGTACCTTGACAGTGCAGAATGCGAACTTGACGCCTTTACAACTCGGCCACATTGTCACGAGTGCCCTTGGGTCACAGGGCAGATGTGAATGTCAAGGAAGGCCAGGCCTTTTCGCATATCACATTCTTTGGTGGGATTGTCGATGAAGCAAACGTATTTTTGCTATAATAATCGACTATGTCACCTATTTTTCATATGTAAATAGAGTTTCAAGACTACCAGCAAATGAGTCACGGTTCGACTTCCACTGGCAGTGTTGATAAGACCTATGTGAGGTCGAAACTTCAGTCCACGAGTACTCGTGGTAGTGTAGCCTAGTCGTTAGCGTGTCAAGCTACCGTCCTGCACTGTCGCGGTTCGAGTCCCGCTAAGGGTGTTGATAAGACCAATGCGAGGTCGAAACTGCACTCTACTTAGGCCTGGATA